AACTACGCGCTAATGGTCTCCCTCTATAAACACACGGACTTCCGCCCAGTAAAAAAAAAAGCATCACCAATTTTTCCTATTTTCTTTTTTAAGGAAAATACAATTCGTATTCTCACCCGCATTCGCTCTGTTATTCCGGCAGTGCAATCTCTTTTATAATTCACAACCTCCTTCCTGATAAGAGTTATCGCTTCCTCCCTCGCGCGTGTGTGTCTGTGGCCTACATCTCTCGTGCGCGCGCGTGTGTGTGTGTAGGTGGTGTTGTGGCACTGACGGGTGAGGAGTGCCAGTGCCGAGAGAAAGCTTCAACAGGTTATGCGGGGATGGCATTCGTTCCGGTGTGGTTGAATTGTAGGGAAATGGTGCTATTTTCGGAATGCAAATAGCTTTTTGTTTGATCGTTTTTAGCTCTTTTCTGGTTCGGTGAAACGCACGTAAACAAACACTGTAGGTGGATAGGGGGAAAAGACACATACATACACACATATACTCACCCACTTACACAGATTCAGATATAGACATATTTAAGCAAACAAACACATAATACATACAAACAAACAGTCAGGCATACGCACAAGAATTCACGTAAACAAACAAACTTATTTGCACTCATTTGCTTAAATATGTGTGTACAAATAATCCAAAAATAAACAGCCAAAATCACACACACACACACACAGAGGGAGAGAGAGAGAGAGAGAGAGAGAGAGAGAGAGAGAGAGAGAGAGAGAGAGAGAGAGAGAGAGAGAGAGAGAGAGAGAGGGGGGGGGAGGAATGCCTCAGAGGAGTCTCATTCATGACAGTGTCACGTCGTCTCCCCTTGACCCAAGGGAACGAGAGAGGGGAAAACGCGGAAGACGGAAGAGGGGGAAAGACGAGGAGGATGACGAGGCAGAAGAAACACAAGAAGATGGAAAGATGAAATTGAAAGGGAAGAGAAGGATGCTGGTAATGACGTAGATGAAGAAGAGGGAGATAAAGCGGACGGTAAGGAGGGAAGGATAAGATTTATAGAGGCTGTACAGGATGATGCCACTTTAGGGATAGGAGGAGAGTGCCGGGCGGGGGGGGGGGGGGTAATAAACGGGGAAGAGGACGAAAGGGAGGAGAGGAAAGGACGGATGAGAGGGAAGAGGCAAAAGGGCGTGAGGAAGGCGCGACAATATGCTACAAGGATCGTGAAATTATATCCGTGGAAGTATTTTGGCGATGGCAGTGATAGTTATGAGGAAGATGCTGGTAATAGTGATAACAGGAGAAAGTGGCAGTACTCGTTGTGATAATGGAAGTTGCAATGTTGATAGTGCTAAGGAAGACGATATTAGATGTTATTGTCTTTATTATCATGATTATTGCAGAATGTTAGAGGGTCGAAAAGTTAGTTATAATGTTAACAGTGATAAGGAAGACGATATTAGATGTTATTATCTTTATTATCATGATTATTGCAGAATGTTAGAGGGTCGAAAAGTTAGTGAGAGGATGTTCAGAAGAACGTTTTTAGCTAAGTAGCGTAGCAGTGCTTGCAAGCATTGCGTTAAACAACGGCAGCGGTAGAAACAATGGTCTGCGTAGAAAACAAAAGGCAAACAATACAACAAAAGATAACTTAAAAGCGGCAATGGAAACACACCATGACAGAAGTTTAGAGGCGATATGACGCTACGTATGTCAAAATAAGCAGCATTGGCCAGGATGATGAGAAAGGAATAAAAGTAGCTTCAGAATTCATGAGAGCACACAACGCGTTTTCTTTGAACTCCAAAACAGATTGGGGAAATCCATCAGAAAAATAGAATTAGAAGAATATCAGGTTGTTATTGTGCATCAGAAGAAATGATTTGTTGAGGGCAGAATAACACCCGTATTTAAGAGATAGTAATAGCTCAACAAAGTAAAATAACCTACGGAGAAAAGACGCCCGTTTTCACAGTTTTGTTTTTTCTTCCTTTGTTTTTTTTCTGGGTAATTCTTAGTTCTTCCACTTGATTTAATTCTGATTTATTACATGTGTTCCCGTATATGTTCTACGTTGATAAGTGACAAAACCAGCGGATAATGATAGCGGAAAGTTATCTCTTAATGACATTTGAAACCCTCGGAACTTTCAAATGTATTACATAATTGCTCGCGCTTGTCCCGTCTGCAACATTCGTGCAATGCTTGTGAAACTTGCAATTCGCGAGACAGAGAGGCATTTCAGGCGTTTCTCTCCTTGTTGATTTTGCTCGCTCTGCCTGACCCGGGGAGCTGCGAGCGCTGTGGGTTCTTGTGATTAGCCGGCGTGGCTTGGGGGGGCGGGGGGGGGGGAGCTGAAGGGTGCTTGCTGCGGGGGGGTGAGGGGGGTGGAGAGGCTTGAAAGGGCGCTTGCAGGGGTTTGCAGGGGCTTGCAGGGCTGGGAGAGGGCTTGCAGAGGTATGCTTCCAAGTGAAGCTCTTCCACGCCGATGGTTTTAGGACGCAGAGGCTTTCATTTTTTATTGTTGTTTTACCTTCTTTCTTTTTTTTTTATGGGGGAGGGGGTGTGATTGTCTTCCATCGGGGTTAATTAGAAAGATCGTGAAAGCGTGGCTGAAGCGAATGACACGAGAGACAACATACACTTTTCCACACGTACTTTTCCACCCCCCAGTGATATTATCATTGACGTGTTTATATCAAGTTCTATCAACTGCATTCGAGGAGAATCCGACCTCACGATCTCTCGGAAAACGGCACCACGGTCGCTCCAGTTCACACGCGATAGTGCAGACACCCAGGATTGCACCGCTCTGACACAACCTTTGCAGATCACGACGACTGTTGCACATCCTCAGAGGCGCCTCATAAAATACGTCAGAACATGCGGAAGAGACCCTTGCGAGCCATGCTGAGTCAGAGTGGTGGTGGGGGGGGAGGAGGAGGAGGAGGAGGAGGAGGAGGAGGAAGAAGAAGAAGAAGAAGAAGAAGAAGAAGAAGAAGAAGAAGAAGAAGAAGAAGAAGAAGAAGAAGAAGAAGAAGAAGAAGAAGAAGAGGAGAAGAAGGAAGAGGAGAAGAAGGAAGAGGAAGAAGAAGGAAGAGGAAGAAGGAGAAGGAGAAGGGGAAGGAAAAGGAGGAGGAGGAGGAGGACTTGCTGTTGGTGGTAGAGATTTTGGAGAGGAATAAAAAAGGGGATATGGAACAGCAGGAAAGGAATAAGGGGGAAGGAGAGCAAGAGGAAGAGGAGGAGCAAGAAAGAAAAATAGGAAGGGGGAGGAGAACTCGCTGTAGTGATAGAGAAGGAGGAGAAGGGGAAAAGAGGATATGGAAGAGGAGGGAGAAGATGAAAATATAGAATAGGAAAAAGAGCTTGAGAAGCAGGAAATGGAAGAGGAAAAAAGAAAAGGAGGAAAAGGAGAAAAAAAGAATAAAAGGCATGAGAATAGGAGGACGGGGAAGAGGAGGAGGGAATGAGGAGGAAGCAGCCTGAAAATGAGGAGGATATCGTGCAGGAGGCGAGAGAGGAAAATGAGGATATCGTGCAGGAGGCGAGGGAGGAAAAGGCTCGTTTGGCGCGATAGTTAGCCTGGACGTGGAGGATCTGTGGGAGTCTGCCTGCGTGAATATTGGATGGGCGTTGAGAGCCGTTGAGTGAAAACCCGGCAATGCTTGGTAAATAGTTTAGATCAGGGACGCCCGCGTGCCGCTCTGCCTGTGGGACTGGCGCTTGGGGAGCCTGATTCACTTTTTATCTCTCCGGGTGGTACACGGCTGATATTGGGGATTTTTTTTCCTGTGCGCTTGATATATATATTTTTTTTCTCTTTTTTTAATTCTTTCTTTCATTTCTTTTTCGTTTATCTGCCGAGAACTGGGACAAACGGCATTTCCACTCGCCTCCCCTTACGCAAGAGAGTCGGAGCATTGCAAAATATTCCCTTTTTGATCTCCTTTACTAGTTGGCTTTTACGAAAGAACCAGACGAGAGGGCGTGTGCGTCTGATACCATCGATAAAAGCACACGCACACACGAACACACTCGCCAATATCGCATTACTTAGTCTCAAGAGCAATATGGCGGCGCAGGTGATATTCCTCTGGTCTTACAGGCGACTTTTCTTCCGTCTGTTGGACATCATTTGCAAGGACAATTCTCAAGGCGCTTTGTTTAGTTGGATTGGTTATCTATGATATTTTCGTTCATGTATGTTGCTATGAGTTCTAGCTGACGTATATCCGCGAACGTGAATGATATTTGTATGTTGCTTGCATACATGTACGTAATAAATCCTTGGCCAAGAGAAATTGCAATATACGGTTTTTCCTTCGACTCAGGAAATCGCGATTTAAGAATATTGAAGGCTTGTTCTTGTGGTTTGCAAAGGCTGTGGTGTTTTGTTTGTGGCTTGGTTTACAATATTTTGCTATGTTTTTTTTTCATTGCAGTGGTAACGACATTCAAATTCTTGTCATTGCAAGTATTGTTTTTTTTCTTGATTCTTATATTGTTGGTGTTGTTATTGTTATTTCGGTCGTTGTGTTTGGGTGTCCTTTTCCGTCGCCTGTGATTTGTTTCTTCCTTGCGGTATTTTTCAGTAGTGTCACTATTGGTCATATTTATTGATTTGCTAATAGTGTTGTTATTATCATGATCATCATCATCGCCATCATCATCCTCAACATCATCATCATCATCATCATCATCATCATCAACATCATCATCATCAACATCATCATCATCATCATCATCATCATCATAATCATAATCATAATCATAATCATCATCATCATCATTATCATTATCATCATCACCATCATTATCATCATTACTATTATTGTTATTGTTATCGTTATTATTATTATCGTCATTGTTATTGTTATTATTACTACGACACCCTGATTGCTATTGTTATTATTATCATAATTTTTATCGCCATCATCATTGTTATTATCTTGCCATTGTTGTTACTACCACCATGGCTTTTATTACTGTTCAGAACACACAGACCTGACTGACCCTCCCCCCCCTTCTCTGCCTTTCAGATAGTGGTAGTTGCAGCGAACGGCCGACAGAGGTCAGGACCGAGGACTCTACTTCTCACACAGAAAAATCAGGTACTTGTGATTAAATTTTTTTCTGGGTCTCAGCCATTAAATAGTTTTTTTTTAAGTATGATGATTTTTTTTTTTTTTAATTAAGCCCACTTTTTTTAGCTAAAGTTTCAAAAGGAAAATATCAGACAACGGTGAGTTACGGGAACGAATAGGAGATCCTTGTTAAGATTAAATAGAAGGATCTTATTAACTTTTTTCTGATCAAATGTATAATATGTGATGTGATTATTCATTTAAACAAGTTGGATTATGATCATTGTCTAAAGCAAAATTTGTATTTTATTTTAATGCTTTTCATTGTTGTTATTATTATTATTGCTTACTATAACTTCTATTATGATTGTTATAATTATGTCCCTTCCTTTTTATCTTCAACTTTTACTTTTTAGTGTTATGTTATATTGTGTAAGTTCATCTTAAGTAATGAATGCATAGAGGGATTTCGAAGAAGTTTAAATTCTGTCCATGGATCAATTTCGTATGTGTACTTTTATGTATCACAACTTCACGTGTTTTTACCTTTACTTACAAAAAAAAATGCGTAAATACAGGTTAATCCTTCATTATTTACTGTAATAAGTATATAAAAAGGATTTAGTAGAATTGAAGATAGGAAAACATCCCTCTATGATTTCATGACTGATATGCGTCTTGCATGAGTGTATTCCATTTTGCGTTTGTGCACGAGCATCACGCCCCTGTTAACGTGACAGTGCCACCGTCTCCCTTGAGCGTCTACTCCAGGGAGTGCCACAGTCAGGACCCGTGGTGTGGCACTGAACTGGAGGCTGGGAAGAAAGCATGAGACAGTCTTGTTTTCACGAATTGTTGTTAACTGTTGTAATTTTGAATGTGCATGGTCGTTTTGGATTCGTTGATGACTTACCTGAGTAAGCTCTTTCTTTGCGTGTTTAACTGTTTACTATTTTTTTTGTCTGTCTTAGCTGTATGTTCTCAACAAATCATATACAGTCTGACGTAACGAAAAGTAAGAAGTGAAACACATTTGGTAGTAAGAAAAATTACTCAGCTAAGTGAGCATGCAGAATGTGCATCTTTCCTGTGATTTTGTGGGCGGCGCGACGTAGCTTGGAACACTGTGTTGCCCCCCACCCCCACCCGCCCCGTGGTCCCGCATGTGTAGAGTTGCACATTAACGCTCCAATAGGGCTAGGAAAGAAAAAAACAAACAAACAAATACCAAGCAGTCATAAGAAATACTTATCTACATATATATGTGTCTTTGTATACGTATGAACAGAACTCGAGATGTTCACGAAAACACGAACACGTGTCAAGGAATTGTGTTAGCATATGGTTGTCTACATGTACATTAACTACTGGACAGTAACAGTTCTATACAGATATGTCTATGTTTTTTGTTAATATTCTTACGTGATGTACACAGTTGTTCGCATGACGTGGAGAATATACTGAATGTGTATTCGGGTTTCCCTTACGTTGCCTATGGTTTATTTGTGGTATACTGTACTTCTGTGTTACTTTTTTGTGTTATATTGTGATTAGAAACCGTTGTACGTTATTTTTCCCTCTTTTTGTAAAGCTCTCTCCAGTCACACGTCAGCACGTGACAGGTATAAACGGAATATCCTTGAATTTAAATATTATTTTTTTATCGAACCAAACCGCACCGTTGCGAGACCTTGCCGTCAAACGCACATGTAAACAAAATCGCATGTGCGTTCGTGAACACCAGAGGTGGATTCACGCGAGTAGATCTTGTTGATTTTTTTTTTTTTATCTTTTATCTCACGTGATACAACAAAAACTCGTTTTGATCTTCAGAGGTTGGAGAAAGTCAAGATATTCGTTCGTATGTTAAAAATAGATCACGTGTCCGTAGAAGTCTATCCTTTACCCTTCCCTTTCGACCACTTTTCTGTACCTACTGCATCCTTCAGTCATCTCACGTGCCTACACCTCATCTCAGTCTTTCAGCTCAGCCTCACTTATGTCAGTGTTTTTTTTCTCTCTCTCTTCTCTCTATAATCGTCCTCCATTTCCTCCGTAAAATATACAAGTCTTCCCTGTTTATCGAGATTCCCACAACGAGTTCATTTTAAAACGCTGGGTCTTGTCTCAATGGTATTACGGATATGTTGTTAGGGCTAATAAGAGATGTTTAAATGTGATTGTTTGTTTCTGTCATTTCTCCTGCCTGGTTCACTAAGTGGGTCATTCGCTTGTTTTCTTGCGTTAAATTTGGGTCTTGAGTCAGTTTGCCCTTTTTTGAGGCGTGACTTTGGCCTTTACTGTATTAGCGAGGCCAGTGACAGAAATGGGTACTTAGAAAAAGTTTTTTTTTTATGCTGAACACGTGCGTTAGACTTCCGTTGGTAAAAGAGATCTTCAGTTTACATTTCACGACTTTTATTTTCGAAATATAATTTTCTCTTAGATAAACAGTGTCTTGCATTAGCTTGCATTCAATTCTCGCGGCACAAGTATAGCCACATGATCCAAACTCGGTATGTTGCGACCTCATTTCCCCTACATTATAATACCTATTAGTGCACAACCGGCTGTTAAACTGCCATTTCCAAAGTCTCTAATCCCTGACACTGAAACTATGAACAGGTGTATGTGTGCGTGTGTGTGCGTGTGTATGTGTGTGTGTGTGTGGGGGGGGCGTGTGTGTGTATGTGTGTGTGTGTGGGGGGGGGGGTGTGTGTGTGTGTGTGTGTGTGTGTGTGTGTGTGTGTGTGTGTGTGTGTGTGTGTGTGTGCGGGTGTGTGTGTATGTGTGTGTGTGTGTGTGTGTGTGTGTGTGTGTGTGTGTGTGTGTGTGTGTGTGTGTGTGTGTGTGTGTGTGTGGGCGTGTAGGGCCAGGCAACCACGCCACTTTCCCCTCCGTCCAAATAGCTCCTCCTCGGTGCCAACACTTGGGATTTTCGAACCTTAAAGAGTGTCGAGAGTTATATTTTAACCCTCGTGTTTCCTGAGTTTGTGGTCTGCCAGGTGGTGTTTGGAGAGACGGAGGGAAACAGGGAGAGAGGGAGGGAAGGAGGGAGGGAGAGAGAGAGGGAGGGAGGGAGAGAGAGAGAGAGGGAGGGAGGGAGAGAGAGGGAGGGAGGGAGAGAGTGAGAGAGGGAGGGAGGGAGGGAGGGAGGGAGAGAGGGAGAGAGAGAGAGAGAGAGAGAGAGAGAGAGAGAGAGAGAGAGAGAGAGAAAGAGAGAGGACGGAGGGTGAGACGGGAGAAGGGAGGGGTGATGAGAGTGGGGGAGAGAGAAGATGAGGGGAGGAGAGGGATGTGAACGAGGATTAAGACTAGGAGAGGGGGAGGAGAGGGGAAGAGGTAATAATAAAAGAGAGAGACTGAGAAAGGGAGAAAAGAGGGAAGATAGGAGCAGGGGTTGGGAGATAGGCATAGGCGAGGATTAAGAGGAAGAGAGGGAGAGCAGCGGACAAGATTTATGAGCCTGGATAGAAGGCAAGGAAGGAGGGAGGGATAGGGGACCAGAAGTGGGGGGGGGAGGGTAGGAGAGAAAGGGGTTAGCCATTTTGGGGGGAGGGAAGGGGAGAAGAAAGGAAACAGGAGATAAAAGGAGCTATGAAATTTTGAGAAAAAAACAACAACAACGAAGGGTGCGGGAGAGAGAAGCAGGGGGGGAGGGAGGGGAGAAGCAGGGGGGGGAGGGGAGAAGCAGGGGGGGGAGGGGAAGAGCTAAATACGACCAAAAGAGGAAAGTGCCAAGGGGGAAGAGAGGGCGACAGCAGGCATCGGACACTGAAGGCTGTTTGATCAGGTGATGGAATGAGGGGGGCGGGGTGATGGATGAATTTCAAAGTGAAGAGAAAATATATATAATTGATGAAACAAATAGAAACGAGGGTGTCATTGGGGTGCACGCACACAAACACACACACACACATAAGTTCACACACACGCGCACACAAGTATATATATATATATGTATGTATTTATATGTATATGTATATGTGTGTATAAGTATATATATATATATATATATATATATATATATATATATATATATATATATATATATATGTATGTATTTATATATATATATATGTATATGTATATATATGTGTGTATGTATATATATGTGTGTGTATGTATATATATGTATTTATATGTATATATATGTATGTATATGTATATGTATATATATACATACATATGCATATGTGTGTATATATATATATATATATATATATATATATATATATATATATATATATATATATATATACTTTATATATAGATATAAAAATATACATGTACATACGTATGTATACATATATACATTACATACACACCCACAAACACACACGCACACGCACACGCACACGCACGCACGCACGCACGGACGCACGCACGCACACACACACGCACACACACACACACACACACACACACACACACACACACACACACACACACACACACACACACACACACACACACACACACACACACACAAAATCAATGAAACAACAAACAAGCAACCATATATTGAAAGTAAAGGCGCCTACATGACATGACTATTAACTTGAATTTGATAAGCAGAGGACCAGAAGATAAAGACGACGAATAAAGATAAAGAAGGGACAAGGAAATAAAAGGAGCGAGGAATGAGGAAGGAAGAACCCCGAGCGACGCCGATAAGGAGGAAGGCGACGTTATCAAAAGCATTTCGCCGAGTGATTGTGGCGGCACCCCTCGGCACAGCTGGTGGAAATGGCACCGCCGTTGTTAATTATGGCAGATAGATGTCACGTTATAGGGCGCTTGGATAATTCACTCTACCACTTTAACCTGCTGTTGAGTTACGATAAACTGAATTATAAGGTCTTGGATGATGATTAAAAAAAAAAAAAAACAGCGTGTGAGCCTATTGTAGCGAGAATGGGATGCGAGGAAACGCGTTTTGATGGAGGTTCGCTGCCGTCTTGTCTTCATTTAGGTAATTCGCTCACTAGATTCTGCCGCACCTGAAGTAGATTTCCCTCTCTTGGCTCCGCCTCTCGCACCCTGATCGTGCCCCGCCCACGTCACCTCAGCGTTGATATAAAACCTGCGATCAGCCATTATTCCTTTCCTCTACCCACATTAATCAAGCGCCATTTCTTTCATTCGACGGCTGGCATCTGCTTTCACTCTCGGTGTCAAGCTGCTTGTTAGGGGCGGCGCGAACACCACTGCGCCCACTCACCTGTTAGCACCGGGTCGCGAGCTCATTAGCATATCGGAAGTGATGGTTTCCGGCGCAGCGAGGGGGAGCCGCTGACCCCGCCCTCAGACGCCGCTGATCCCGCGTCCCCTACGCACCGTACGCCGGGCGCGCGCTGCGTTCGTCTGCGTTTCATTGTATTTCATTGTATTGTCTTTTTCTTTCTAATTAGCGCTTATCTCTCTCTCTCTCTCTCTCTCTCTCTCTCTCTCTCTCTCTCTCTCTCTCTCTCTCTCTCTCTCTCTCTCTCTCTCTCTCTCTCTCTCTTTCTCTGTTTATCTGTCTGTATGTTTGCGTGTCATACGCCAGCCCGCGCTATGCGTTCGACGTTTTATTGTATTTCATTCGTTTTCTTTCTAATTCGCTCTCTCTCTCTCTCTCTCTCTCTCTCTCTCTCTCTCTCTCTCTCTCTCTCTCTCTCTCTCTCTCTCTCTCTCTCTCTCTCTCTCTTTCTCTTTCTTTCTCTCTCCCCCTCTCCCTCTCCCTCTCCCTCTCCCTCTCCCTCTACCTCCCTCCCTTCTCTCCCTCTCTCTCTCTATCTATCTTTTTACTGTCTCTCCCTCTATCTCTATCTATTTATCCATCTTCCTACCATAAGTCTATGTACCTGTCTACTTAGTTTTGCGGCGGAATTTACGATTTTGTCTTTGTTTACTTCATCGGATTCTCTGAATGGCGCCGAGTTTATAGAATGTGTTTTTGTGGCGTTGGCGGCGAGTTCTTTTGTCGGATTTTTGTATCGGTGTGGCCCAGAGTGTGTGTTTGTGTGTGTGTGCGTATTTGTTTGTGTGTGTTTGTGTGTGTTTGTGGCTGTGTGTGTATGTGTGAGTGGGTGAGTGAGTGAGTAAGAGTGAGTGAGTGAGTGAGTGAGTAAGAGAGAGAGAGAGAGAGAGAGAGAGAGAGAGAGAGAGAGAGAGAGAGAGAGAGAGAGAGAGAGAGAGAGAGAGAGAGAGAGAGATTGAGGAAATATTTACTTGTTATTGTACGTGTTTGCTTTTTTTTCACTTGTATTTTTTTCACTTGATTTCATCCTCTAGAGTGACTCCCTAACATTAATATTTAATCCGTTAAACAAAAACACAAAGAAAACGAGTGAGAGATAACGATATACCACATGAATACGCGTATAAAGCACAAAAATGACACAAAACGAGATGAATGTACATAAACAACTGAACAAATGTAACAAAGAACACTCAGCTCAGTAGGTCGTGGGAAAGGCCGTGTGTGCGTATGTGCGTATGTGTATGTACCGATTGTGGACATCATCTGTGGCTACGAGTGTCATGTCCACGGTAGCTTTTTTTCCTAGAAGATGACTGAGGTTTAGCCAGAAGCGGCATTTATACGCTAATGGGATAATTGTAGGTCGGTTTATCTGCAGAGGCAACGGTGTTTTATCATTTCTGGCGTTGGTAGTTCGGCGAGCATTGTTGAGGAAGTGGGTGGGCCTGCCTTTATTTTGTGTAAGTGTCTGATCTGTTCTCACTCGCTCTCCCTTTCTCTCTCTCTCTCTCTCTCTCTCTCTCTCTCTCTCTCTCTCTCTCTCTCTCTCTCTCTCTCTCTCTCTCTCTCTCTCTCTCTCTCTCTCTCTCTCTTCCTCTGTTTATCTGTCTGTCTGCGCGCGCACACACACACACATTTATATATACATTCATACATACATGCATATGTACATATATACAGATATACATATATATGCACACATAGATATACGTACTTATACATACATAAACATACATATACACACACATACACAAACACATGCACATACACATACAGGTACACATATATACATACATGCATTTATGACGAAGGTATATTCGAAACCGGTTAAATGCATATCTTGTATTGTAAAGATATTCCTATACATACTTTTTCTACATTTGCAATATGAATATGGTTTATACACACATACGTACATACATACATACATACATACATACATACATACATACATACATACGTAGGTGCGTACATTTTTTCCGCTTTTTCACATGTCGCATCGAGAGAAAATCACTAGCCGGAAATAGCAGTGGCTCTAAATTTAGTAGACGACGTTGTTATTACCTCACTCACATGTACGCACGCACACACTCACATACACACACACACATGGCCAAGCATAGCTGGTGGAAGAGATGGGAGCGGTATTGTTATTTTTGTCTTTATATGTTTATTATTGTGTTTACTACTGCTGTTGTAGAAAAGCCTACACTGCAAAATAACTAGATTTATTGAAAATGAGACTACAGTTTCGAAATCCACCTGGATTCCATCGCCAGGACCTGAAGATGGAATCCGGGTTTATTTCGAAACTGTAGTCTCATTTTCAATAAATATTTTTGCACTGTGCGCTTTTCTAGCATAATATCTACACGGAAGAGTGTTTTTACCATTCACTACTACTGTCGTCTTTGTCAGTGTTGTTGTTGTTGTAGTTACTGTTGATAGTAGTTTGTTTGTTGTTCTAATGAGAATTAATATCGTCGTTGTCGATGTTAATTTCATGTTTTTTTTTCTATATTATTTTTTTTTCTCTAAGAAAATCGTGGTTTAACTAAATTTCATAATAACTTTATTTTGAGATATTTTTTTTATAAATCATTAGATACCGAACATATTTGTGTTTTTTTATTGTTCATTGGTTGCCAGCGGTTATACTAGTATAATTAAAGGGACGGAAGTTGATTCTCATTTTCTGATATGTAAAGATATTTTATTCACGCTTACGGAACAGAATGTCTTTTCGTTAATTAGTTGAATACTCAAGGAAATAAGCAATCGTTAAGAAAAATATACGAGAAAAACACCACAGTACCATCACCGTCTTACACGTAAACGAAGGCACACTCCCGAAGGCGCCACACAACACGTCACATGGTTTGCTCGACACAAAGGCGGTTTCACGTGAGCAAGACAGTCTCCAAGACTTGTTTGTATTGACGTTCTGGCATCAGCTGACCTGAGGCTGTGCATCATTACATCTGGCCTCTTGCCTTGGATTGTATTTATAGCTTGTGTTAGGCGACATAAGGTGAACCATACCACCCCATGAACATAATCTAGATATATGATGAATCGGTACACATGTGTGAGTTAGAGACATTTACATTATATAAGATTACTTTAGAGCAGGATGGTTTATCGACTAAATCGCATGGCTTTCTGATCCTCTTGTAACCCGAGTTGAATGGTTGGAGTGACTGATCGGAGGAGTTTTTAAGCATGGAAGTCAGGTGAGTGCGTCTCCCTGACTGCGCCTCTGAATTGCAAGGTTTTTAGCGTCGTTTGGCTTCTTCCGGATTGCCGGAGATTCTGAACAGCATCGTGGACTTTGAGCTACTAACAGTAACTAGAGTGAAGATAAAATTTCCGGATCGGCACGTCACGCCGAGGCTTTGATCTTGTCAAAGACTATTGACTATTTAGACATTAACCTAGTCCAGAGTTTGATTTTCTGACTAACTATTAAAGCTAGAACCCCCTCCCCCCCTCGACTGACGACCACGTTTGTTCCTGTAACTTCAGAGGATTCAGAAACATCAGTCATCATCTTAGAAACGCATGGCGCTGACCCTAATCTCTTGAGGAGCGACCCAGAGCAAGGAGCAGCAAGCCACGACGCCACAGACACGGAAGCGTCGCCACCGAAACCCGAAAGCGACTCCTCGACACAAGAGTCGAAGGACGCAGAGAAGAGATTCAGTCGAGATTCGACCGAGACTGACGAAGGCGATTACGCCGAAATCGGGTCCCAGACTGACACCTCCACGGACACGCTGGTGTTCGATGTGTCCCAGAACGACCTAGACGCGACCTACACGGAGGAGAGCTCAAGGGGAGCGAGTGTAGAGTTTGATCAGGCGACAGGAGCCTATATTGAATATCCGAACGAAGCCTCAGACGACGAATCTCTCAAACGAAGCCAGTCTGAGGAGGATTACAGCTCTTTCGGTGAAAACGATTCGTTTTTCGTAAACTTCGAAGAGGAGCTCGAGAAGGTAGAGCAGCAATACCCGGAATTGGAAGCGAAGCACTTGCTCTCTGAAGGAGGTGAGGAGCAGGAAGCAGAGGAAGGGGTCGTGTGGGTGTGCGAGGTGGTAGAAGGGAGTAGCACGTGCTTCACAATAGCCGAGGAAGTAGAGGAAGAGGAGAATCCCGCGCCACAAGTCGGAAAACTGGATTCCACCATGGGACAATATTATTCCAGTGCCTCTGGGGGGGACCCCTCCAGGGGCGATGCCTCCGGATCCTTACCTTCGTCTCCCCGGTCGTCTGAAGGCTGGAGAATGTCCATGGCTTCTACAGCAACAGTGGCTTCATCTGCTACAGCAAATTCAGACGATACTCTCGCCAAAGACATGTCAGAGCTCTCTTCGATTAATTCACGTCTGTCATATCTCGATGAAGCACAGGACGACGTTAAGGTCCATTCACTAAACCAAAATACAGACCCCGATATAATCCCAAAGGAGACCCCGCAACCCGACCAGACTAGGCAAACAAGCATCAAAGACGCTATTGATGAGCTCGAGAGCATTGAACAGGCGGCGCAGACGCTGCTGCTGAAGCGACAGTGTAGTGACGACGAGCGTGCCACACCTGTCCCAGGCGACGCAAGTCGCACAAAGCTATCAGGTGAGAAAATATTTTTCTCAGATCAGCACCTAAGTACTGAAACATATGAATTGAAATCAGGTGACAGCACGACAGTAGATTCTGCGCAAAACATATATGAAAATTCCAACAATTCTGAAAGGTATGCTGGCGTAGATAAGCCTGAAAGCTCATTTTCCCCGGAGAATGTACACAAGAATGACAGGTATACAAAAGAGGAAAAAGTTTCTGTAATTATATCTGAGGACAAGCCTCCCCTGCCTCCGACAGCTGGCAGTCAGCCACCCAAAGTTGAAGTGAAACGCCGCTGGTTTTCACGCTCCAAGGAAATTCAGCCTTACATATCTCGGGAGTCTTACAACAATGATAAGATATTCAAGGAGCTGGAGAGACTGCGCCGGAGCTTCCAAGAGAGCGACCTCAATGATTTCTTAGACACCCTGGAGAACACCGCCATTCCGGACGATATGGACGAGGCCTTCCTGCGCCAGCTTCTTCTCGACATCCGCGAGGACGTCGAGGGCCCTCCCCCCTTGGCCGAAGGAGACGCTCAGCTGACCGAGGACGCCGAAATCATCGAGGCCGAGGCTGCCACACCAGTACCTGACGCAGAAGCTGTTGCCGAAGCAGCGCCCCGCCAGACGGCCACGGGAAGCAAGTTCGAAAAGGTAAAGGAGAGAATTTTGGAAATGATTAAAGTCCGAAAGAAGGATAAAGGCAAAGACGGAGATGACGCTGACACACCCAACTTGCAGAAGGACGATTCTTTGTCTAATGAGCTTCTTAAGGATGATTCTAGTCGCTCTGAAACCCCGCAGATTAGCCGATCTATCACTCCACAGTCCCTGCGGCCTGACACCCCAGATTCTAAATCAAACAGGCCCCTCACGCCAGATTCTTCAAAAGGCGACGAGTCAAAGAAAGGCTTCAACATCGCCGAATTTCTCAAGAAGGGGTCACCGAAATATCTTAGAAAGAAATACAAGGAACGAAAGAATCGTAAATCGGATGTACTGACGACGTCTGAAAGCGAAAGTGAAGATGCAGAAGGATATAGGAAAGACGTAAATTACTCAAATAATTTGTCACAAAAGAAAACGATCCTCACTGATAGTCAGTCAAGCCTTAAGGGAAGCAACCGGTCTCTCACCGCTTCCCAGGAACTCAAGAAGGAAGTGAGGTTTGATCTGAACACCGATACTCAGAAGAAGGGCGGGGATGAAGCCAAAGACGCGAAAATAGAAGCAGTAAAACCAATAATAGTGGATGAGAAAGCGAAGGATTCTCCCAGGCTCTCAGGGCCACAGATGATCACATGTGAAGCTCAGCAGCAGGAAACAGTTATCCTCAAGGAATTTGAAGAGACGACGCAGGAAATGGAAAATGACTATATCCTGAATCTTCCCTCGACCGTCGAGGACATAAACGCGCGAGCCGAGAATTTGCTTCCCAGGCTACCTGAGCGAGCCAAACCTCCAAGAAGAAGAAAGAAGTTAATACCCGCGCCCGTCGAGGAGCTGAGTACCGACGTGCAATCTGAAACGACCTCCACGACCTCCGTTGAGTCGGTCAAGGAGACCCGCGCTGAAAGCCTCAAGGTCAATGCAGCGCTCAAGGACGAGTCTCCTCCGCCCTTGCCTCCTTATGATGAAGTAGCAGAACTTGAGACATGCACTCCCACGTACATACAGGTTGTTGAAACGACTCGTCATCCTGAAGACATTGCAGAAATAGTGGAAGAAATAATAGAAATAACAGAAAGAAGGGTGAAAGTCCCTCCTCCTCCGCCTGTCACGACTTCAGGTTCATCTGCAACAGTTATCAACGAAATCATCATTCTGAACTCTGAGGCTTCGACCTCTGTGGCGTCCACGACAGACAGCCATTCTAGCGACGGCCTCGTGGACCCGATACCAGTGACGTCCGTGGCGACGATATCCGTTGCACCTGCCCCGGAGACAGCGGTGGTGGTGATGTACCCGCCAAGGACACTGCCGCTTCCCGTGATTCAGGAATCCCTAAACGAGGATCAGGTGTCCCTTCCGACTCCAAGTGAACCGACACTGTCCTTCAGTACTCTAACGTCAAGCGCCACGACGCCCTTAGAGGGTGATCACAACGAGTCTTTTTACGATAATGCTAATCCATTTGCAGAATTTCAAGAGAAGGAAGAAAAGACCCTCTCACTTCAGCATGATACAGCTGAAATTATAGTCGAGGCCGAATCACCGACGAAAGCCACAAGTGTGGAAAAAGAAAATAAAGCTGATATTTCTGAAAGAGTCGAAGTAACAAATAAAGAAAATACAGATTTAGAAAAGATAGATTTACAGAAGGACATCTTGGACTCACAGATTATTGAAGTTACCCCTCAAATTCCTGAAACCAAGGTCGGAGAAATAACTACTGAAGTAATTCCCTGTGAGTCCTTTGAAGAAGTTACTCCTGGAGAGACGAAGGTAGAGGATGAGAAAGTGTCTAAAGCAAAGCCTGAAGTAGAGCCTGAAACGATGCGTGAAGAAAAGCCAGAAGCAGAGTCTGAAACAAAGTCAGGCGTGAAGCCCGAAGCAAAGCCTGACACGAAATCAGAAGACATCCTTGAAGTAAAGACAGAAGAGACAGAACGCTTGATAACCGAGGCGTCTGTAGTAGAAGAAACAACAGAATCCAAATCGGAGACGACTTACAAGGCGACTGAAGATATGAAAGATAAGCAGCTGCCAGATTCTCAGCAGGAAGCTTGCAAGAGCCCTGAATTAGAGAAAAAGGAAATAGCTGATATTGATGCTCTTGCTGCATTGACAGCTGAGATGTTTAAATTTGCAAATGAAAAGGAATCGAGCAAAACGCAAAAACAGAGTGAAGCATTGAAATCAGCAGTCGTAAATGATAGCTCAGTTGACACATCTGACATGGCAACTCAGAAGGACACTTCATCCGAGGCGCCTCAAGCACAGACACAAGACATGAGCACCACTACAGAGACGAAGGAGATGGTGACCCAGACGGAACAGGACGCCTCGCCTCGAGCGAAATCTGTCAAGGAGATGGTAAAAAGCAACACGATCGCCATTCAGACGGACGCCACTCGTCTGGTGCGCATGTACGAGGCGGCTTCGCAGACGGACACCGAGTACGAGACGGACCTGGAAACCGAGTCGGAATTGGAGGAGAATGCCTCGGGGCGCTACGACGCCAGCAAGTGGCTGTTCAGGCCCACGAACGACGCCAAGGCGATGGACCCGCAGATGCAAGAGTTACACAAGCAGCAGCAGATGATGATCCAGGAGCTCCAGCAACAGAGCGTGATGCAGCAGCAGAAGCAGAAGAAGGCTCCCGAAGTCCCCCCGCGTCAGTTTCAGCAAAAGATGCCCATGCAGGTGGTGGAAGAGCTGAAGAGCGTGCTTGCAGAGAACGGAGATGACGCCACGCGGCTGAAGAAGACCGCCGACCCTCCCCCCCGATGGGACTCGGACCTCACGTGGGAGAACGGTAGGTTGACCTCTAGTCCTACTAATGTTACTATGGAGACTAGCAAGACCCTAGTTACCTCCAAAGACGCTTCATACTTCCCTGCTGATCCTAAATCTCTTCCTGACTCCTTCCCTAACCACGTAACGCAATCTCAATCTCTCGCCACTGAAAATGCTCACACTAAATCTGAGAGGGACGGAAGGTTAGATAGGCGGCCGTCATATTCAGTATCCACAGATGATCTGGCACCCATTCCCGAGGAGGCACCCGAGCCCAGTGCCAGAGCGGTGGGCGGTGTAGTTGACACGCGGCAGGCTTATGCTGTAGAGGCAGAGCCCGCAGGTGTTCCTCCCCACGCGCACCAGGCAGCAGCTGGCGCCTCTGACCACGTACAGCAGACATCAGCTGATGTTTCTGGCGTCATGCATATACCACCCAGTGACTCACATCATAAGAAGCAGGCTTCTGCTTCATTTTCTCATCTCGTGCAGCAGGCGGCAGCTGGTGCCTCTCCTAATTCGCAGCAGACTCCAGTTGGTGCTCCGCAGCACGTGCAGCAGACACGTGACAACCTCTTTCACCATAATCACCAGTCACCAGATCGCCTAGCAGAAACAGCCTCACCTGCGCCAGGTAATGTCGCAGCTGATCAGCAGGCAGCAGACACCCAGACCACAGCAAAGATCCGGGCCAACGTGTACCCCTGCTTCGCTCCTGTGCCCAAGCTCCCGAGAGGAAAGCCTCCTGTGCCGCGCCCCGTCCGCCGCCTGAGCGCCGATGGGCAGGAGGACGGCTACCTGAGCGACCCCGGGGCACGACGAGGGAACGGCCGCCTCAGGCAGACTCCGGACAGAGCAAAACCTCCGGTACAGGCGCCGGCGGAGGACCGCGGCTATGCCACCGACTCGGAGGTGGTAGTGAAGGCAGAGGGGAAGAAGACGCTGCTCGGCACGTGGACACCCTTCGGGCAACCAGGGCGTGACCCTCCACCTCCTCCCTCCACCCCAGCTCATGGTAAGGAAAGTGTGCCACTAACACCTCCGTCACAACCTGCTCCGCCCGTAGAAAACCTTCCCCCGGCCCCCCCTCCTATCCCCGCTCCTCCCCCCGAGTCCGCTTTTGACGAGCCACTGACCTTGCCCTCCCCCAGAATGGACAGGCTGACAGATGTCGGCCTGGCGACCGAGGGCGACGCCGGAGCGAACTTCGATCAGCTCTCCGGCGAGGAAGCCTCGAGGCTCCTCCGCCTTCAAGAGCTGCATAAATTATATCAGCAACGCCGAAGCTATTACGACGACAAAGAAGCCCCCATCCCCCCGTATGACCCATCTGCTTCAGGTCCACCTCAGAGCCCACCTGCTACAGATAAGGAAACCGCCCCAGCAGCCCTGCCAAAGTCCCCATCACCTCCTCCAATACCTCCTCCACCGCCGCCACGACCCTCGCCGCCACCACTCCCTCCACCCCCCCCTTCAGACCCCTCCGATACCTGGCTCCCGGCGCCAGCTACTGCCAGTGCTGATCGTAGCGTCGCCACGGTAGAGTCTCTGTACCCGTGCCAGCCGGCCCGTGCCCATTCTGGCTACACTACAGACCCAGAACTGTCGTACCGCAGCGATCCCCCCCGACGACCGCTAACCTGGTGCCCTCAGTCCACGCTGCCCGTGTTCCCTTACCTTGACGACGGAGGTGCCACGACCGCGCCTCGCACCCAGGATAGTGTCCTCGCTGAGGGATCAAGTAACAGTGTAGGTGATTTATCAACAGATTTACCCGAAACGCCCTCGAGCGAGAGCGACCCGGAGAGGCAACCCGGGGGCTACGGCTCCCAGCGGCTACGGGCTCAGGGGTTGGGAGAGTGGCTCTTCTTCGCTCGTCTTGACCGCACCAACAAGCTGCTGAGTCAGTTGCCGACGACCATGGAGCTGCGCCCCGGCACGCAAGTGAATGGCTCCAGTGACGTCAACGGTGGGCAGGAGGCCGCGGAGGACACCAGGCGAGACTCGCAGGACACCATTTGCCGGAATGACATCGTGAAGTCAGCGAAGTACCCGGCAGGGGAGCAGAAGAGAGGTCACTCGTCGTCGCCGCCCCCGCCGCCGCGCCCCCGCACGCCCCTCGACGAGCGCGACCCGGAGCTGGTGTACGCTGAGCGCCGTTACCTTTCGTACTTCCAGGAGCCTCCGTTCAAGCAGAGCAAGAGGAGCGGCGCGCCCCGCGAAGAAGAGATCAGTTACCAGCAGCTCGAGGCCCAGCGACGATACAACAACTACTTCGTAGGTCCTCCTCGAGCTTCCACTCCGAGTGAGAACGAATCCGTCAAATCAGTGGAGCTAGACGAGGCCCAGCTGGCTGCTCAGCGCCGCTACCAGGCCTACTTCGAGCCCGGGCCGCCCAAGCCCCGCGCGAGGAGGACGCCCGAGAGGCAGCCCGAACCCGACCCGGAACAGCTAGAGGCAGAGAAGCGCTTCCTATCGTATTTCAACGCAGGTCCTCCTCGTACCCGATGCTCGTCCCAGACCGAACGCACGCCCGAGCCCGACGCTGAGCAGCTCGAGGCTGAGCGGCGCTACCTCGCCTACTTCAACCCCGGCCCACCTCGCCCCCGAACGTCGTCGCAGACCGAACGCACGCCCGAGCCCGACGCCCAGCAGATCGAGGCCGAGAAGCGGTATCTGTCATACTTCAACCCCGGCCCGCCACGCCCACGCCCTCGAAGCGAGTCCTATGACAACGAGACCGAGCCCGACGAGCGGCAGCGCGAGGCCGAAAAGCGATACTTGGCCTATTTCCAGGGAACTCCGAAGGCGAAGCATGCGAAGGACGAGGAGAAGGAGGAAAAGGGGGGGCTGAGGATCCCGCCGACCAGAGAAATGCTCGAAGCGGAGGAGAGGTTCCTGAATTACTTCAAGCCTGTGCCGTGCGGGGAGCCGAGGCACCTGATCGAGCCTCCCGTGAGTGACAGTGACCGCGCGCGCCAGCAGCTCATGAAGGAGTACTGGAAAGCCCTGGAAACGCGTGTGGAGAGGAAGGAGAAAAAGATCATCAAAGTGAGCAAGCCGAAGCGCGAGGTGGAGCGAGAGGCCACGCCCCCCACCCAGCGCGAGCTCGTGGTCGAGGAGTTCCTGAAGCGCGTGAAGGACCGGAAGAAGGAGAAGGATTTGCATTTCGGCGACACCGACGACGAAGACGAGGAGAACCCCGCAAAGAAAACACTCGATTTAAAGCTGGGCCTTCCCCCCACGCCGGTCGCGGAAGCTACCACGCCCACAATCGAGGGCGGAGGAGAGATCTCGTCGAGGGTTGCAAATGACCTGGACCTGTTCGTGAGTAAGGAGGGTGAGTGCCGCTTGCGCCACACATCGGCTGGCAGCGGAAACGAGGCACTGTGCTTGTGGTGTGAACTTAACCTCCGAACCCCCGAAATGTCGTGACATGTTCGGGGTCAAATCGAGTGCCAGTAGTACGTTTGAGTCGCCTTCAATGGCCGTAGTGACCCCCAGCCGCCCGTCTAACCTTCCATCGTGTAACAAACAACCTCTTAGAAGTACCCGTGTGAGCTAGAGTAATTACCATTGATAGAAACCACAAAAATAACATCGTTTGTTTTAGCAGATTTTAGAGTGATGACGTGCTACCTGAAGGAGAACCTCCAACAGGTGGCACTCGCTGGTGACCCGATTTGTAATAAGGCGTGCGAGGTGTAGGGCCCGAGTGCCAAACTTCCCGTATTAAGATTGGAACCTCCCACCCCCTCTTCTCCCTCTACCCCTCCCCCCACCCCGCCCCGGCCCAACCTAATAGTGGTATGTGACACACTTGAGGGTGACACGCAACACGCACCCCCCTCGTGGGCTGGTGCCAGGTGGTGCCATAATGTAAGGAGTCCTCATACACCAAACCATGGTGGTAGCTGTGCATGATGGGCCGCCACGTCCCTTTATTATTTCTGTTACGGTCTCTCAGTTCCAAAAAAATACATTATAGACTAATTGCCAAATAATCATATGATTTTCAAGAATACAGGCAACCGTGAGAATGTATGTTGTATGTTATGTGAGTCATTATCAAAGTTTCCATCTTATTTGCACATGGACCTGACCTACATTTTCCTATCGCATGGTTCATCATACATGCAACGTGGGGCTGCAATCAGATAAAATACACGTCTGAAAAGCAATAGGAATTATATACTACACATTCACAACACATACGATCAGTCTCGGCTTCCATGAGTTCATGCCTTTTTTTCAACGTGGAAATAAGAGATCCGAAGCGTTTCCTCGTGTGGTGAGCTCATCATCATCTATAAACAACCTCTAGTAACAATTAGCTGGTATTGTCTACCGGGTTGGCAAGGACGTGTTGTGTTGCCGTCGCGAGTGTTGCAGACCACCGTGCTAACGCGATAACGGTGTTTATTTGCCTCGCCGTTGTTGTTTTTTTTTGTGGGGGTGAAAACTTGCTCACAAATCGTAATAAACTGAAATTATTTATCAAGGTATTATCACGATGTCATTGGTCTGGAAGTTCATTCTTATCCCATTCCGTAAACCAATAAAGAAAAGGTAGCCATTTAATTCATCAGCTCGGCTTTCCTCAGCTCATTCCACGGAGTCAATTGTGTGTGCGATCCCGCGCCCTATAAATACAAGGAGAGCTATTAATTTTCAGTCCCAAGTGGCTCTCTCAAGGAGTCGGCTAACACCTATATGAATTGCGCTGCCGGGCCCGCCAACCGCGCTGCCACGACGTAAGACGCTCCAACGTTTATAGGAATGGAGCCAGAAAATGTTATCCCAAAGGTCGTCTTTCCACGTCAAGTGTAAATGTTTGCCATGGCGGGGTCTGTTTACTACGGAAGTGGTTCGGGTGTATTTCTGGTCCGCGGTTGCCTGCAGGCGCTTGCGGCGACCATTAGCGATATTTGTAAAATAATACATTCGTAATAAGGAGGCAAGGGGTTGTGAATGGTAGGCTGGGAGATGTTTCTGTGTTGTATGTTTGGTGTAAGTGTTTGTATGTGTGCGTGCGCTCGTGTGCGTGTATGTGTGGAGATAGATAAACGATAAGGTAAACAGATTAGCTTTGACTAGCATGCAAATTAAATTTCATTCATATATTTATATATGTCATATACATACATACATACATACATACATGCACACATAAACATGCATACATGCATACATACATACATATGTATACACACACACACATACATACACACCCATATATGTATATGTGTGTGTGTGTGTGTGTGTGTGTGTGTGTGTGTGTGTGTGTGTGTGTGTGTGTGTGTGTGTCTGTGTCTGTGTCTGTGCGTGTGTATGTATGTGTGTGTGTGTGTGTGTGTCTGTCTGTCTGTCTGTCTGTCTGTCTGTCTGTCTGTCTGTCTGTCTGTCTGTTTGTCTGCCTGTCTGCCTGCCTGTCCGCTTGCCTATATGTGTGTGTGTATGTATGTTTATTTGTGTGTGTATATATATATATATATATATATATATATATATATATATATATATATATATATATATATATATTAATTTTTACATATGTATATGTAAAAGTATAAACACACCATCACTTTACCTCAGCCAAGAAAAGGACCCAGTATGCTGTACCAGGAAAACATGGGAACATTCCTTTGGCGAAAGAGGGAAAGGGAACAGTGCAAGAAAACAGGGGGAAAGGCGAAGGAATGAAGGGAAGAAATTTATTAGGAAAAGAAAGAGGAATAGGGGGACGAAGAGAAGGGATGAGGAAGTTTGAAAGGAAGGAGGTGGGGAAGAGGAGGAGGGGAAGAGGAGGGCTAGAGTAAAGAGGGTGATAAGAGGAAGGGAAAAATAAAGATCGGAAATAAATAGGAAAGGAAGCAGGCGAGGAACGAAGCCAAAGAAAAAAATGCGGTGAAAACGGGAAATTTGGATAATGCGTTCTTTCGAAAAGATAAAGATTTCTATGTACAGCTGGTCGTAAAAAAAACAAGAGGTGATGTTTTCGTTAACATAGCTGGT